TGCTTGGCTCAGTTTCTCCTTGCAAGCTTGGAGAACAGAGAGTCTAGAGACGCTTATTTAATTTCCCAGCTCAGCTGGCTCTATGAAGGTGGAATATCTGAAGGATTTTGAATGAGCTTTGCAAGACTAGAGGATGCTGAGGGAAAATCCTGCTTCTCTTGGAGAAAAGCAGATTTGGCTTCCTCTCTTGGCCATGGAGGCTGCCACGTGCCTATGAATGAGGAGAATGTGCCATGGGCTACCGGGGTTACTGCAGTCTTCGCTCGGGTACAACGTCCTACCAGGCCTTTGCTGCCTAATTTCAGACTGCGAAGAATTCGAGTCGACAACCCTCATGGTTCCCGAGGTCAAAGAGGCATCCAGTATTTTAGATGAATGCTTATAGGATCCTTTATAGATAGCATAGAATAGTCAAAAGAGTATCACCAGAAAATAGCAATAAAGGGGCTTTGGGGCATTACTTCTATTCCTACTTCTGATTCAGGCTAGCTGGTTTATCTTGGAGAAGACAGAACGGCCAAACTTTTGAATTACAGTGCCTCAACTGTGTCAAATATACAGTTGGGAAGCTAGTAAATGGTTTGGAGTTTAGACATGCGGAGAAACCAGAGAAAACTTGGGGTTTAAATTAATAATTTTTCATGTTCAGGATGTTGGACTTCTGAAAAATACATCAATTTAGCATAAAATATTTTGTTAACCTGGGATACAGTCTATGTAAGAAGTATCTTGGTTGAGATAATTTTGTTTTACATAAACCCTGGGATTTTTTCCTTTTCCATGCCATGTCCGTGTCCAGGGCTGTAGGATCACAAGGCTGCCGAGAGCACAGTGCTGGGAGAAGCAGCAATAAAACACTGGCATTCAGTTCAGCACTCTGATAGATCACATAGCGTATTTGCTTTGATAATGTTGCATGGTAGATGTATGTGCTGCATGATTTCACAATTCCCAGGGTAAAACCAATTACCCATATAGAGAAACATGGTTACAGAGAGTGATATTCTCCTGGCAGCTAATCAAGAAATTATGGTTCTCATCATGTACTAAAGCCTGTACTAATACTTACGTATGTGAAATGTGGTTTCAGTCTGAGCTCTTGTCACTTAAATAGCCTCTAGCATTAATGCTGATAGCACTAATTTGTTTCAGCATTATTGTTGTTTATGTATCTAGAAGCATGGAGATTTCTGTGAATATTTAAGATGTTAAGGTAGCTTGTGTTTTTTCTCCTTTCTCCTTCAGAAGATGGCTTCAAAATTTGAGATATTTTGTTGCGGGGAATAATCAACTTCGGTCTTAAGGTGCTTCATTAAAATGGTTATGGTCATTACTTGTGCCTGCAGCACTAATTCTACTGACAGCAAGGTTGCAGTACAACAACCTCAGTTTTAATGCATGACAGCGATTATAAATGTGGTCATGAGGTTAGAATGATGATGTGATCTTTTTGAAATGTGTTATGCTAAAGCCTCTCTATTTCCTATTAGGCGAAGGATATGCAATGTTCCACTTTTTGTTTGCTTTGATAGCACTAGGATGCTCAGTTTTCTGCAGCTCTCTCAGTTGCAATTAGCTGGCAGTGACTCTAACATCTTGTACTGATTTCTGACCTCCTTGACCTGAGACAAAATAAGAGCCCCAAGAACAAAGTAGGTTTTGCATCAGGCTTTTTCTAAAGACCTGCGTCACTGGAAACCAATGGCCTTTCTGTTCTTAATAGAGATGACATGCACTGAAATCTGATGTAATCAAGAGGGGACTCGTGTGGGTAAGAAGAAAACATCTAGCCTTAGTTTGCATTCCTGTTCTCTAGTGCTTTAGAAGACATTTTCCAGGGTTGGACAGTATTCCCACTCCTCAATACAGTGTTTCCTTTAAAAGACACAATCCATTATACCATTACGACAGCCTTGCAATACAGTATTAATGTCATATTAACTAGCTAAAAGCAGTGTTAATTGTTCATTTATAGCTGATGTCACCAAATTCACATCATATGTAATAAGAAACAGATGAAATTGCAGGGTAAGAATAATAAGTGTATAAATCTCAGGGAACAATATCTTACACAGAAAGCCCCTATTGGAATGATCTAATGAGGTATTGCTTCATTTTTAGGAGAAGATCAGAAAGAATTGCCACCCACATTATCTTTCTAGAGCATCATAAATCCTTCTTGCACTACAGAGCTATTGTTTACTGTTCAACGTTGGAATACACTAGCTTTAAGAAAAGATTACTTGTTTGCTTTCTAAAAGCAGGATGGTGGATGAGAGGCTTATGTTTGAGTGGAATTTACAGAACTTTCCAATTCAGTTTTTGATCACAATTTGAGATCCCACTGATGTTTTATAATCATGTACAATAACGTATTCTAAATCCTCTTTTTTCTTGGACAGTCATGGCAGTTTCCCTGTAGTTTCATCATAATTAAATTTTACACTAGCTTTTTTGAAATGAGAGAGGCTCTCGTAATTAATTTTGAGGCAGTTTCTGCTGTTGACAAAGGATGAAGTTCAGTCAAAATGTCCTTGGGCTTTTGTAATAAATTAAGAATGTTTTACATTTTAAGTTGATTCGGAGATTATTTAAGTATTTCATTCCTGCAGAGGGATAAAAGGATTTTAGTCTGATGTTGTTTGCGTGGAACGGATGTGAGCTGCTCTGTGGATCAGTTATGTCCTGCAAGTTTGTTCCTGGCCTATTGTTTGGGCAGGCTGTAATTGCTAACTGCATCCTCCAACAGATTTCCTTGAGTTACCAACACAACTCAGACTGAACAACTCCTTTTTCTTTTTTTTTTCTTTCTCCTTCCTCCTTCCTCCTTCGTTCTTTTCTCTTTTTCTTTTTCTTTCTTCCTCCCTCCTCTCCCTCCTCTCCCTCCTCTCCCTCCTCTCCCTCCTCTCCCTCCTCTCCCTCCTCTCCCTCCTCTCCCTCCTCTCCCTCCTCTCCCTCCTCTTTTTTCCTTTTTTCCCCCCGTTTTCCCCCCTTTTTCCTTTTTTCTCTGTGGGGTGGGAGGTGGTTCTTTTTTGCAAGTCTTTGTATCCAGTGCCTGACACCAAGATGGGCATCCGCTCGTAAATTATTAATGCAAAGCTGGGCAAGAATTGGTCAGCAAAGCCCAAATACTCACTCCTTTTGAAAAGTTAGCTTTAAAAGCAAACCTGTGTAGCCATTAGATAACATCTATGCTGAGATCATCATATGAAGCAACTATTCCCCTTCTCCTCCCTTCCCTGCTCCCGAGTGCTTCATTTCATGCCTGTAGCGCTCGCTCAAAGGGCTGCTCTATTCCTCACACCTCTCCCACCCTCTAGCTAATATTCCTCCCCCTAAAAACAAAATTTCTGAATCACAGCTGTTATATTCTTTCTAAGTGCTAAAAGAAAAGCTCTAATCCTGTATTTTCTTCTATAGATCATCTAAATTCTACTTTTTAAGACCTGAAAATACAACATTTGCAAGTAAGATGGCAATTAATCCCTAACCTGACTTGACTTCCTGAGTGGCTACCAAAGGGGGAAAGAAGGAAAAAGGACTGAGAGGAAGAATAAGGGAAAAGTACTCAGCTATTTTAAGCTTTAAGCATCTCTGTAGAAAACAGAGCTGGTCTTGTGAGCAGAGCCCTTCTCTGCTCATTGTGGCCAAAATGTTAGACCAACCCGGACAAACCCACATGTGAGGCAGATAACAGGCTTAGGCTGATATAATCTTAGACTAGACATTTCTGTTGCATGGTGTATTATTAAGATTTTTGGCACTGCTCACAATAAGCCTAGTGCTGCCTGCATGTACATGCAGGGAGACACTGCAGCCTGATCCAGAGTGGCTCTGGAGCAACCCATTAAATAGTATCCAAAGAGCAAGGGAGGGGGCAACTAAAGTACAAGGCACTGGTTGCATGTCCCAGTTCTGTGCTTGAAAAATGCCTATGTATATTTAAAGTCTAAACGTGGTGGCAGGAATCTAACAGAAACTAGACTAAATGGGAGTCTTTAAACCCCATGGAAGTATAAAAAAGTAATTTACAGTAGAAAGGATGTGAGTTTGCCATGCAGGGGTGTAGCTTTTTCATCATTAGGATAGTGGTTAGCGCTGTAGGAGGTATCGTTACATACTAGGGGATTTTTATAGCTCTCAGAATTCTTGCTCTGTCTCTGCTGCATGAATGGCCCCATTTACCCTCGTGAGAGAGGGGAAGGGCTGAGGCAGAAAGGAGGGCACGTTGCGGGTCCCAGCAGCAGACACTGCCCTGGCTTCTTCATGCTCCACGTGGTTCCTGCCTCGTGTGGCTATTTCGGTTCTCTTTACAGGTAACGGGGGCTACCAATTTAGCCCATCTCTAGTGGCTGGCTCTCCAAAGTGAGAATAGCTGGTCTTGGGTACCGCGGGGAAGGAGAGTATCCAAAGTGGCTGCTAACAGAGAGGCGTTTGTGCCTCCCTGAGAACACTAATGTACAGTGCGCTGTGCCAGAATTATTACTGATATCATCTCTGATATTTATCTTTGGCTAGTTGTAGTTCCTATGGAGCCTTAGGGCTTGAACGTAGCTTTTTAAGGGTTTAAGGCTAAATGGAGCATGATGTTTTTCCTTCTTTTAAAGGCAAGAAAATCACTCTTTAAAGGAAGATAAAGGAAAAGCAAAGGGAAAAGAAATCTCCTTGCAGGAAGCTACGTTTTAAAATCCTGCTGCAAGAATTTCATTCTCTAATTAATGAACTTTATAGAAACATACAGCATTAAAGGAAGGTATGGGAAGTAGTAGGAACTTGTGAAAAAACAGGGAATAAAATAGAAAGAGTCATAAAGAGACTATTTCTTTCAAAAAAAACTTTGCATAATATTTCTGGTTACTCTACCTTATAAGAGAAGTCATTTAGGTTTTAGCTGCTAATCAGAAAGATATACCATCGGGCTATTTTTTTTAACATCCTATGGTGTTTATTTTCCCTGGAAAGGGTAGACTACAGTGAACCTTCTATTTATGTTTCTCCAGTTTCTGGACCTGCATTTGTCCTAACAGAAAGGATAATGCTGCCAACTAAAACAGCAGTGTGGTGAAAGGGAGTTCCAGTAAAGGAGCAAACCCCAGCTTCCACCCATGCAGAGAGAGAAGCTGAATGGGACTCATGATGCTCCAGATAGCCAGGTACGCCGCCTCCTGCTCTCCTCGGCACTAAGGGAGAGTCCTGCAGAAAACGGGAACTGAAAGGGAGCTGTGACAGTGATGTAAAAGTTGAGGATTTCCAGACCAAGGCTGCCAAAAGAGCCATCCACTTCATTCAAAAACCCCTTGTGTTACCCTCTATCTTAGTCTCAAAATCTATTCTGAAGCTGAGAAGATAAATATTGTGGCCGCAGGCTTTGCCTCCCGCTCCTCTCTGTGCTGGTGTTTCCATCAGCAGGAGCTGTGCCTGCCCCGTTCAGCCAGCCTTGCCCAGGCAGAGCCGAGCACCAAGTGTCCCTTCCCTATGACAACCTATGGAGAAGTGTCACTGCCGAGGCACTTGCTCTCCCTCTGGAGCACCTCCGAGTGCCAGCCTTTTCCATGAGACTTTGTGCCCTTCTGTTCCAAGAAGCAGCTTCTCCTCATGCTTCTGCTCTCACAGCTACCCCCCTTTCAGGAAACTCCTTCAGTCCAAATCCAGTAGTGAACTACCCCGGGAATACTCATAAATCTGTAGAACAGCTGAACCGGATCTTGCAGATTTTTACCATTTGCAGAACATCTCCCGCACGGTAGCCTGAGCATCTCTGTGCTGCTCATCAGCACTCTTGGGCTTTAGACGGATCTGCAAAATACTGTGTGATGCCTCCAGCTCTGTACACTAACTGTATGTCTTCCTGCTGTGCAGTGAGGCAGCAAGGTGATGTACTTACAGTGCAAGCAAAATGATGCCATGTGCATTTTGGCTGATGTATTAATGTTAATAATAGGAATAAGTCCACTGAGAAATGCAGAGAATTTCAGCTTCAGCTCACAAAGTTTTCCTCATAGAAAAGGAATAAAATACTGATTTTGAACAAGGTCATTACTTGTTTGTGTCCTGTTGCCTTGCCAGACGTGAGTAGTGATTTCTGTCCATTTTAACCAAAAGACTTAGCTAATACCTCATTTTCTGTTCAAACATCTTCAACCAGAGAGCTATTGCCATGAGGCTTTCAGGACTGAAGGATGAAATAATACAGTGAATTAGCCAATATGGGTCCTAGATAGAGGTACTTGCTGCTACAGATACCTCTTATGGTGAATTATTGAGCCTTCAGAGGGTTAGTGTCTGTGTGCACAGCAAGACACTTTCTCCAAAGCTGTGTGTGTAGGTAAATTGATACTGGTTTCTATAATCTGGTGAAGCCCATCAAGGAACTTATATAGCCAAACAAATCTGGGGAGAATATATGCTGAGGCAGCTCAGCGTAGGAAAGCAGATGCAGCTTCATGGCATGAGAATGTCACCATTTGGAAAGTTTGGGTACTTTTCACAAGATTTTAAGTGTTATTGCAAATATCAGTGCGGTTTTATGTCTTATTGATGACAAGTGCAATATTTATGTACAGGGAAAGGCCAGGAGCAGGGAGGGATATCTGGGATGGTAGGAATAAGGTGATGGTGGGTATGTGTGGAAATCTTTCATTTTTTTCATAGAGATTTGCCTCAAAACAGGTTTCACCCTCAAGATGGAAACCCAGGCTGGCCATTCTGTTGAACAGGCTTGAAGTTAGGCCGTGGATCTAGGTTGCCTTTCTAGGCACAACCCAGTGTGGCCGCGATAGCCGCTGCCTTCGCTTCCCAGGGCACTAGCAGGGTCCTCATGCATGGGATCAAATGACCACCCTGTTCGTTCCCTCCACCTGCGAAATTTCCGAGGCTCCTTGAAAAGGGCCATTGTTTCCCAGGAATGTCAGGCCGGGCCGGGGAAGAAAGTCCTCATGTCAGCAGGAATGTGGAGCCTGCCCGCGAAGGCCTTGCCCTGGATACGGGAACCGCCTGGACGTCGGGCCCAGCTTTGTGGCAACTGGGCCTCCTTTCTGGGTCCCTTTGGTGCCTCCTTGGTGAGGAAGAGGAAGGTTGAGTCCCAAGACGTGGCGCTAGGCAAGGATGAACCCTGCAGACACGGCCTGCACCATCCTCGCCTCTGTCCCAGGCCTGGTGGGAAGCATCAGATCCAGCATCCCAGCATCTCCAAGGCTTGACCCTGATGCGGGACGTGCCCGTGTGAGAGACACAATACCGATGGATAATCTCAGTCCATCTGTAACCGGCTCGGGCAAGGGGACGAGGGGCGAAGCCTTCAAAGGCTTCCCAACCTGTTTTTCAAAGGAAGGAGGAATCTGACCTGAATATGAACTGATGATAATAAGTACTGTGCTCAGTGAGCCGAAACTCTGGAAATTTTATTTTTTTTATACAAATACGTTTCTTCTCTGTTTTCATTTCAGACCTCATTTAATCTCAAAGCAGTAAGATTTTATTGACATTAAATATTCAGGTTAAAACACACTGACTGTGACTCTTTTCTATAAGCATGGGCTAATAAAACTGATAAATAATGATCCTCAAAAAGTCAGGAAAATAATTTATGACATTTTGATGTTTTGTTCTGTCCTTTTTAAAGATGCTTCCTATGATCTACTTTAAAAAAAAAAAAAAAAAAAAAAAAAAGTTGTAGCACTGTTTGTCCTTAGACCCTGGTATAGATGGCACACAAAAGGAAGCTTGTCCTTTAGGACCTGGCTCCGAATCAACTGCAGACGACGGAGAAACACTCTTTTGTGGCCGCTAAAGTTCAGGAATGAATTCTGGCAGGCTCAGCCAATTCCCGACTGGAGCAGCCACGTTACCGACGTTGAACTGGCAGCTCTCGCGTGTCCCGGTGAGGACGGGGCAATGAATGGGTTTAGTTTAAGGTGTCCCGACTCATCTGCGGAGCGCCTGGCCTGGGCACCAAGGCTCTCCTGTCTGCCTTCCAAAAAGCTGTCGCTCAGGGAAAAATGAAGTTTGGAAATGTTGCTGGCTACGGATGGCATAGCACACACTGGCCTTCAGCCTGTCCCGAGCCCCCTGGAAAAAGCAGCTGTTCCTTCTCCTGCTGATTCATAGATGCTAAAGCACTGCAAGGGGAGTATGTTGGTCGAGTCTATGATTTTTTTTTTTTACTTTTTACTGCATTTCTCTGGAAAAGAATGTCATTATGATCATCCCGATCTCTTCCTTTACTCACCACCTCTTCAAAATAATCCGCAACATGCCAAAGCATTGTTTGGCCTAATACAAGTTTTAAGTGGCTTTTCCCGGTCGTTCCTGAGTCCTCAGGCAGAATGGAGGAATTTCTGGAAAGCCATGAAATAAATATATTTTTCTGTGGGTCTCTTATCCCTACCAGACTGTCCAGTGGAGTTTGGGTTCAGAAGCAAGTATTGCAGAAATCCCAAAGTGCAGCTTTTACACATGGTTTACAAAAAGAGTTGTTCTACTCTTTTATTTTCTTTTCTTCTCACAATTATCTCTAAATTCTCTTCCTGTTTCTTTTTACAAGATTTATTTTTTATTTTATTCCATGCCAATTATTCTTAAAAGAAACATGAAGAATGGGAGAAGCAATTTTAATTTACTTCCATTTTTCTTTCATTTCTTTCATCCTCACTCATTTCCCTAAAATCCTTGAGGAAGTTCAGGGTGGGAAAATAAGTTGCTAAAACATAGGTGAGGATTTGATCTCCTGACATACACGTGTACTTATGTGTTTAATCTTACTTTTGCCTTCACTGAGAGAAACAAAACAAATAAATTAACCAAGGTAAAATTCTTCTTCAAGTATTCTTTTGTTTATTTTTGTTGCTTCAGTCAAGCATTCATGGACTTTGCAGTTACAGGTGATGAAAGGCAAGAGAGAGATAACAAAAATAATGACCTAATTTGAGTCAGAATGGTTGTTTTAACTTTTTTTTAGTAGAAAATCTAACTGACTTCTGAAGGGCCTGTGTGTCAAACTGGAACTATTTCTCATCTTCATGCTATTGTAAATCAAAGATAAATTTTGCTGAAGGAAATTTTATTAGAATGGCATCTACCTTGTGTTAGAGGAGAACTAGGCCTATGTGCATAATCATAAATATATAAACATATGGATATATAGTTTTTATAGGATTTGTTTGTTCCTTCAATATTGTGAGCAAACAACTGATTTGCTGCCATTACACTGTGGAATCTCTGAAATATTTGGAGATCCTCCCAACCGCAGCACGTTAATAACATTAGATGCACGGCGAGATACCTCCCATTTTTGCACCCTGACTATGATAAGCGATTTGGGCAGGAAGAAAAAAAAGAAAAAAGAAAACACACAGAGAAAAAAAAGTCTCAATAACAAAATCCACATTGAAAAGTTGGGCACTTTGAACTTTCCCATCACCTTAGCAGTGTTTCCCCCAGGCTGCCTCCGGGAGGACTCGCGCAGGCTGAATGGGGCTGTGCACAATAGCTCCTTCACTAGCAGGTCTTTAATTGATTACGGCTGTGTTTATAGAAGCAGAAGAGAATTTACACAGAATGACAGATTGCCTTCAGTGTGAGAACAGTTGAGTAACGCTAGTGGTCAAGGAGGTCCCCTCTACCTCCTCTCCAGCCCAGGAGTCCCCGGGATGAGCTCTTTGTTGCTCCAGCTCTTCGTTGACTCTCTGCCTCTCCTTCTCCTCCCGGATTTTCTGTTCACAGCAGCAACATTCCTACCAATGGACTGCAAGAGCCGGGCACGTCTATGCAAAGAGAAGCAACTCACCGAAACTGTTGCAAAGTCAAAAAGCTCGGGGACTGCAGGTTCAAACATTAAATGTGAGAAAGGGGAGGATCAGGCAGTGCGGTCCTGCAGGGTGACACCCCTGTGATGCCCCACAAACACCAAATGTGGCCGAGCCGAGGTCACTGAACCCCCCGTTAGCCCCGTCTCCCCATATTCCCGGAGCGTCCTGCATTTCCCTGCTAATAGTGACCTCTAATGGTTGCACATCTGAATATCACAGAACTCTGCAGCTCCGAGGCAGCGTTTGCCCAACAGCAATGACCACTGCAGCCCATGCGGACGTGTTATCTCATAACCACAGGCTGTTTTAAGTCTTATCACAGCTGCCAAGCCCATAGGAATATGGCAGCCTGGCTTCTCTGATGCCCTCGTATTTCAAAATCATGTTAATGAGGATTTGTGAACTTCTGAGGCTCAGGCTAAATTGAGAATGATTCCAATAGCGAGTTACTGCTGGGGTTCACGTGTAGGGTTCTTATCTCCTCCTTCCTAAAGATGAGGTAAGGAAGCAAAGAGACATTTCCTTGGTTTCTGATGGCTCTGAATTAGCTGATACTTGAAGTAAATGGACACACACACACAAAACTGGAGATGATACAATGCAGTTACTACTTATCTGGGAGCCACTGTTCACATCATCTCAGTTAACAGTGTATTTGGTTTAATCCAAAAGATAGTTCAAATGGATTCTTTATTTCAGCTGTATGATTTTACATCTGAGGTGAGAAATGTCATAAGGAAAAGATGGTATTCATAAACACAGACATTGGAAAAGCAGATAGGTCTGAAAATACCAAAATACCCCAAGGAAGACTCCAGGGATATTAATATCCCAGCAGAAATATCTTCTTGCCTATGATTGTGCTGAATGCCTGTTGATTGGAAAACACATTTCTATGATACTTTTTAGTAGGACTCATCTTTTCCGAACCGTGAGGCTTGGCTTGTCGCTGGGTGATTCGTGGTGCTGCCAGCTCATGCGATCATGCTAAGCACAACTTAACTGCACTCTTTTGGAGAACAGCATTGTGCCAAGCCTAGAGAGATCAGGAAAAACAGGGAAAAAGGAAAAAAAAAAAAACCTAAAATTTAACAGAGAGGAAGAAAAGAGCGGAGAAGTAGGAAGAAGTTTATCTTGTCACTGCAAATTCTGAACAAATCACTGTCTCTGAAATTATGCTGGTTTTGCAGGCTCTCAGCAGGAAGGAATTTGGGCACTTCCTAACAATAACTTCTGCAGTATCATTTCCGTCTTTCCAGAACGGGTAAAGTATTAATGATAGTGATACTGCTTCTTATCAGCTGGAGCACTACAAAACTGAAACAATAGCTGAAATTATTTAACTCAAGGCAATTTCTCTGTGCTCTTGGCAGTGCTGCATGTGCTTCCTCTGACAGAAGATGGTCTAATAGATAAAAGCATCTGACTTGACCTGCACTAGTCAAAACTCCTCTTCTTGAGTCTTGCTGGTGGTCTTGCTTAAAGGACTTAGATGTAGGACTTAGATGTAGATGTACTCCAGGGAATGTCATCAATTCAGCTGGAAGAACAGGCATACTTTCTGCTATTAAATGGACTTTAGCAAACAAGTGAGAATAGTCCCCAAGAACCCTGGGTTCCCTTGATTCTTTCAAGTCTGCACAAGAATAGAGCCTTATTTTGATCTTTCATCCTCCATTAACTCAGCTTAATCTTGTGCAAGGAAGTCATGTGTCCTGTGCCTCTTCTGAGAATTTGTTTGCATCATCTGTTCTGAACACTGAGAAGGGGACAGGATGACTTATATGGACCTGGAATAACGGGAAGATGTCATTTTCTACAAACATTCACATTTGCCATGAATTAAAAGATTAGGTTTCATCGCAGGAAATGAAAGGCACGTGTGAGTTTATGAGCTTGATCCTCAGTTGAGAAGATGCCAAATTATTTAGTTTTTGTGTCTGAACAAGCAAAGTTACCTTTAGTACACATCTGCTTGTGGCCATTGTAATTAATGGTCCAGTTTACTGGGACATACTTTATTGATGCTTGGGAGTGATTATTAATCTCTTATGTCTTGCACTGGCTCCTGAATAGGATGTACATTTGGAAGGGCAAATGTCACATGCAGATCCTTAGAAATTCCTGAATGTCTTTGTGCCGAGAACTGACAAATTTGACATTTCCTGTGGCTGAAAGAAGGAGCATATATTTACATCTCTATGACTTGTATAAAATATATTGTTTCTGTCACAAACTTCTTGCATGAGTATGTACTCTATAGCTCTTGTTTCTCCTCATTCCTCTGGGTCTATTACTTAAATTAAATCTCCTAAGAGTTCATAAACAGAATCTGAAAATATTTAACCACCAGTGGAGCTTTGCATCTTTCCTTCTTTCCATTCTTGCTCATATTTCCTCAGCTTGTGTGAGAACATCTAACCAGCTGCAGAGTGTCCTGGGGGTGGCGTAGAGAGGGACTTTTCAATGAAAAGCTCGTGAAACAACAGAGTTCTGGTTTTCCGGCTTAGGTTTGAAGAAGGATTTTTTGTGGCCTGTGGCCTAAACTAGGTTATTTTATTTTATTTTATTTTATTTTATTTTATTTTATTTTATTTTATTTTATTTTATTTTATTTTATTTTATTTTATATTCATACTAGCTGGTACAATGAAAAATCTCTCATTTTAAATGCATCTTCCTGTGAGT